TGACCTTGCAGCATGCACCTTTAAAAGAATGTTTATGTTATTGAGAATAATTAGTGTTTACATCTCATTGGAATACTACTAGCTCTTATCATTGGAACTGTATCATATTATTTGGAAATAATTTCTTGATTAATTCCTCTTTCATCAACAAGTGTGTGTGATTTTCCATGTAGGAGGACTATCTGCCACTTTTTTGGAGCATTTACACGGGGAACGAGGTGGGCAGTGTTGGCATGTTCCACACAGACCAGAGCCTTTGTGCTCTTAATCTCCCTTGGAATGAGGCCCAGAATTCAAAGCAGGGGGCATTGAATGTCACCAGCTTTGTTTGAGAATCATTTCAATGTGATGTTTGTGTCTTGAAAACCCAAGAAATGCTAGGTTAGCAGAGATGGGGCTCAGCTAACCCAGCACTCTGCCTGTGACAGTGGCACCAGAGGGTATTTTGTGGGAAGGCATTCCTCAAGCTGGCAGCTTGAAGGGCTTTGTGATGCTTCCCAGGGTCTCCAGCTTCCTATAATAGTCCGTGGTGGACATGTTTCTCAGGAGTGTTTAAAACCTCGTTGAATCTATTCATTTGTGCAAACTTTTTGGGTAACAAATTCCAGAAGTCAGCACATATTTCAGTGCTTAGTTTATACCTAGGACAGTACCAACCATTGTAGAAAGTAGAAACAATGCATAATGCTTGATCATCCCTACTCTTGCTTGAATGTTGTCCTTTCTCGAGAAGACAAGGCTCAGTTGCAATTACAGGAAAATGTAGACAGTGATGGCAGGATGTCACCTGGGAAACACCAAGCACACCACACATGGCCAAACTCAGAGCTCATAGGGACTACTGTTTAAAACAGGATGCCATATTATTAATAATCTATGTGTAAAAATACAGCCAGCAGGATCAACACTGTGTTCACTTCATGTGCAAAACAAAATTGTAATCAGATAGCTGATTAGTGAACAAGGGGAGCAAAGCCACTATGACTGAGTCATTGAGTGTGACAGGCCAACATAGTCATTTTCACAATACCTGGAAAAAGACCAGATGTTTCTTTGAGGTGTACTGTTTGAAACTTGATTGACAATCTTCTGGGTGTTCAACAACTGAATTTTGGATATCAGAGCTAGAAAGATAACCAGGCTAAGAAGACAGCCAATAGTTTGGCCCTGACCTTCAAGATCAACAAGGACCCAGGACATGAAGGAACTTGCCACAAGATCCTACAGTTCTAGTGAGTCTCTCAACCTCCCAAGCAGGGAGATTATGGGCCCACATTCCACCAGTGTACAGTGTGCCAAAAAATAGGATCACTAGAGAGAGAAGTCTCCCTGTGCTGTCACAGACTGCTACATGGTTCAGCAAGACTGTGACCCATTCTGGCAGCCAACACTGACAGAGAAACTTGGAGGCTCTATATGGGATTCCAAAAGTAATGGCTGAGGAGACTCAGTTGACCTTGATAAATTGTGAGAGGTTAATTTCGATTAACACAGTTCTCACTTTAACTTAGTATTAAATGCCCAGCAGAAAAGTACTGTATAACCAAAAGATATGTAAAATAATTCTATAATAATAAAGGTTGGGCCGGGGATTTAGCTCAGTGGCATAAGTGCTCTCCTGGCAAGCGCAAGGTGTGAGTTTGATCCCTGGTACCAAATAAATAAATAAATAAATGTTAGATGGGAGTTCCAATCACACCTGTAATTAACCACTATTACAATTCAGAGAGGCTAAATAGCCACAGTAACAGATAAAAAAGCTCAGCAAGTCTAAGTTCCTTAGCCAAAATTGTCCTTCAGAACCACCAAACTCTCCATCTTACATCTAACACTGGAGGGACTTAGGCACTAATAAATTAAATTTGTTATTTTTAGATAAGAAATTCAGATTTGGTGAAGAAAAAAAAACCTTAAATATCAGGCTTATAGGTAATCTCCCATCAGTAGTAGGAGAGACCTAGGAGCCAGCTGGTTACAGTCCGTGTTCCAGTCCCTGAAGAGCAATGTCTAGATGTGGCTCTTTCCTTACCCTGCCTTTCCATTCAACCTCTCATGCTTTGATTGTACATGCTTCAATTTCTTGGAAAAATTTGTTTATTCTTGCCTAAAGGGTTCCCATCTCCAAGTGATCATACAGATGGAACCACAATAAATGTGCCAGACTCTCTACGAGGGTCCACTAGATGAACCTTGTAAAGGGAGTTCATAACTGTTAAACCCCAGTATAACTTCTGAACAAGGCCCTTTAGGTTAGCTCTCTGGAGAAGGCCCCTGACTGTGGTCTCTCCTACACTGACCTGCCTCAACTTGAAGCAACTAGATTGAAACTTTTCACTCATTCTCCCCTAACTGCAGTTAAGGATACTCCTTCAGAGGGGGAATATGTCAGGCAGCTAAGGTAGGTGGAGATTAATAGGCAATCAGACAGGGACGGGTTCTCAAGGAAATCAATGCAGAAGATGAGAACACATCAAAACTATAGCTGGAGGTGCATCTAAAAAAGGCAAGACCTCAAGATTAAAGTCATGGTGACCAGACTTCCTTAACTAATGAATGGAAATTTGAGATTACACTGTAATTGGTACTACCGTGTCATAGGATTTGCAAGAAAAACAATTTAATACAGAACACATAACTTATAGGATTATTTTGTAATGTCACCCAAAGAGTCAGATACAAAAGAGTGCAGGAAATCTGTCCATACACTAGAGACCCAAAGATTGCAGGTCCTGGGTCCTGCAGCAATGTCTCATGCAAGTCTGTTTCCTGGATCTGCACTGGGAAGGTCAGTGGTAAAAGCTAGAAAGTCTACCAGCGGGATGAAGGATCTGTGCAGGCTGTGGGTCAGTCAGGAAACGATGCTCAAAGTGAGGACCAGAGCTGCCTCAAAGAGTACCATAGCCATCCTCACTATCAACAAGGTCTCGAGCTCCTCCAATAATGAGAACAGCCAAGTTCATATCAGGAAGCCAACATGACAGGCTTCTCCAGGAGAACCAACAGCACCACTTCTTCCTCTTCTGTTCTCCTTTTCATGTTGTTGGCAACAATCCTCAGGTGGGTCCTCCACCCCCGGCACCATGCTGATTCAGTTCAACTATGTAATACAAATTGACTACCAGAGTCAGGTGTGGTGGCTCACGCCTGTAATCCCAGCCCTCGGGAGGCTGAGACAGGAGGATCATTGCAAGTTTGAGACTGGCCTAGGCTACAAAGTGAGCTCAGGCCAGCCTGAACTGCATAGTGAGACCCTGTCTCAAAAAGACAAAAAAAAAAACAAATTGACTACCAGTTGTCAATCTACTACATGCCCAGCCCATTAAGTCCAGATACGCATCAAACACCTGGATCCATCTTGTTCCCAGAGTGTTCTTTTAGAAATCATGGAGAATCGCAGGTTAATGATGTCAGTCATATACCCTTGCTTTGTGCCTGCTTACCTATTGGATATTAGCTAAACCACTATACTTTTAATCTTACTGGTTGATTATAGTTTAACTCATGATGTACGAACTTTGTAACTTTGCTGTATAGTTTACCTCTGACAGATAACCCCTCGTGCCTCTCAGGAGCTATTCCTATTCCCCAATAAATCTTTCCTACTCATAAATAAATAAGCCATTCATCTTTGTCTCAGAAGTGACTTTGTGTGTCTTTGCGCTGCCCATATTGGGTATTTAAAAGTTAAATGCTTGAAGATAATTATTCTTTTTTTTTTTTGTCTTTTTCCTTTTTTATCGGTACTGGGGATCGAACTCATGACTGCCTGCTTGCAAGGCAGGTGCTTATGCCGCTGATCTAAACCTCCAGCCTGAAGATAATTATTGTTAATATTTTGAGAGAACAAATCCATATTCAGTATGGATTCTCCTTAACATGTTCCTCAGTGTATATGCAGCAAATAATTCAATAAATGTAGTATGAAATGCTACTAAATTATGTACTCTGGACAACATGAGCCAGGAAAACAAGAAAAAAGAGGTGTCATTGTGGGCTAAAGAAGGTGTCTGTGTGTGGTGTAGATGGGACTTGAATTTGTGCTTGAAAAAGTATAAACTAAGGGAAAAAAAGATAAGGAATCATGAAATAGGAGTAAACCTGACTGATTCTGGTTGCCACCCACCTTGTCAGTGACATTCAGCATTTCTTTGACCTTTCTGGCCAGAGTACAGTGGTACTTCAGTTCATGAACTTGATTCTTCCTCTCATTCTGGTTGCAAAATGAATTGGACAAGGACCAAATCAAATTCAGTAGTTGGGTTCAGTGTTGACCTTGTGGGGAAGTTTGTTTCAGTTTTCGCTCGTCTAGTTCAGTCTGAGACCAGTACTGTGGAGAGAATTGGTTTCGTGAACCAAAGTACATGATTCAGTATGGGGCAGCCGGAGATCTGGTGAATCCTGAGTCTTCTATTTAGGATTTGTTATTTGCACTTCCTGGGTGCCAATGTGCACATTGTGAAATGGATATCATATAATCTACATTATGATTTTTTTGTTGCTAAGTTTAGTAAAAGCATATGTATGAACATTCCCAATACAGAGTAGATACTTAATAAATGTTGGCCAAATCTAAATTGAGTTGATTTCTTTGAAAAGAAATTTATCCTGATGACAGATTGGGATTCCTATATTGCTAATGTGGCACTACATAGAGGGAATAGCATGGCTTCCCTATGCATAGGCTTCAACATACTATTATAAACTTCAGCCAGGTATGGCCATGCATGTCCAGCTGTATTCCCAGCTGTGGGGGGCTGAGGCAAGAGATCAGGAGTTTAAAATAGCCTACACAACATAGCAAGAGCCTAGACGACATAGCAAGAGCCTACACGACATAGCAAGAGCCTGTTCAAATAAACAAAACATTGTTTCAGACTTCTGTGTTATGCCCTTTGGGCCAGTGTGATTTTCTTTAAGTGGTCCTGATTGGCCTCTAAAATTCTAACAAAATTGTTGCTGAATAGTTTTAGTACTAACTAACCTAATTTTCTTCCTTGTAGGTACGGAATGGCCACATCAAAAGAATCACTGATAATGATATCCAGTCCCTGGTACTAGAAATTGAAGGGACAAATGTCAGGTAGGTTGCCATCTGTGTTCTCTCGGACATGTGGTGTACACAGCGATAGCGTGCTGATGAGGTTACTAGCATGGCTTGCACAGTAAATCCAGCTCTGTTAGTTAGAGGTTACCTTGGGCAAGTAACTTAATCCCCCAGGCCTTATTCTTCTCATCTGTGAAATGGGGATAATTATGTGTTCCTTATAGAGTTATTGTGAGGATTAAATAAGTGACTGTATAAGATACTTAGAGTCAAGCTTAGCACATAGTAAGCATAATATAACTAGTAACTATATTATTATTTACCTAGAGTATGGGTGGGGTATTGTGCTGATCATCCAGTCAATGACCAGTGTGGTTTTCAGTGCCGTGGGGGTCTTCATTTTGGTTTTCTGTTGTAGTTTTCTTGGACCAAATTTGAAATCTGAATGGATGAATTTCTTAAGTTTCACTGGTCTGATTTTGGCATTCAGATATTTTATTATTAGTGTCTAGTCCCTTGTTACAAGCTTTTATTCTTGAGTTCTTTTTTTGTTTGCTTGTTTTTTGAGACCAAGACTCATTTTGTAGTTCAAACTGGCCTTGAACTCACTATGTAGCTCAAGGTTAACCTTGAGCCTTCTGCCTCAGCCTCCCAAATGCTGAGATTATAGGTAGGTGCTGCCATACCTGGCTTCCAAGTCTGTTTTTTTAACCATTCATTAACTGAAGGATTGTTGGACTCATTAGATAATATAGGTGAAGCTTTTAAAACTGCTTTCCAGGGGCTGGGGGTTTAGCTCAGCGGGGGACTGGGGGTTTAGCTCAGTGGCATAAGCGCCTGCCTTGAAAGCAGGCAGTTGTGAGTTCGATCCCTGGTACCAATAAAAAGGAAAAAGACCAAAAAAAAAAAAACTGCTTTCCAGTTTTCCCTCTCGGACTATATGTTGTTATATATAACACGAAGGAGAAAACACAAGTAGTTTATTGGTATTTCCTCTCTACAGCACTACATATATAACATGTCCTGCAGACCCTAAGAAGACATTGGGAATTAAACTTCCTTTCCTTGTTATGATTATCAAAAACCTGAAGAAGTATTTCACCTTTGAAGTTCAGGTGAGTTATGGGTACATTAATATATTTTCCTTGACCTGTACCAAACACTATCTAACTTTAGGAAAAAGTGACGGTACAAAAATATTTTGAATCCCAACACCCAAAAGGCTGAGGCAGGAGGATCTTTGCAAATTCAAGACCAGCCTGGGCTACCAAGTGAGTTTAAAGTCAGCCTGAACTGCATAGCAAGACCCTATATCAAAAAAAAAAAAAATTGTGTATATTCTTTTCTTCCTTTATGTATGTCCTATACAGCCCTTGTTAACATGACATAAATTTGCTATTAGTATTAAAAATTTCATGTGAAGATCTTAAAGAAACATTAAGCACCTGGAAAATCTAGTCAACAGCTATTCAAAAAATTTCAAAGCTTAAAGATTAGGATGGAGTCCATTTGGGGAGTATTTAATGCTGAGATACTGGTCTCTATTATTTTTGATTTTTTTGAAGAGAATGTTTATGGAATCATTCTATGGTTTGAGTGGCTGCCAAATGTGTCATGTGTCATAAGCAGCTGGTGTTGTCGTGGCAACAAATAAGATAAACTTGTTATTTGCAGGCCATCTGTGTCTAGTGTGTGAGCTGTATCTGATCTGTTTATTTTCCTCTGGGTTTCAGCCTTGAGAAACTGAGCTGTGGGAATCAAGTCCTTGTCTTACTAAGGTCATGTGATCCGCCATGATGGGATTGACATGACTCTTCCTCTGTGTACATCACAGGTACTAGATGATAAGAATGTGCGCCGGCGGTTTCGGGCAAGTAACTATCAGAGCACCACTCGGGTCAAACCTTTCATCTGTACCATGCCAATGCGGCTGGATGATGGCTGGAACCAGATTCAGTTCAACTTATCTGACTTCACCCGGCGGGCGTATGGCACAAATTACATTGAGACGCTAAGAGTACAGGTACTGCTCCTTTTGCAGATGGAGCTCCATGCTGGGGACATGGCAGTGTATGCTGTATCTGATGCTGGCTTATGCCCCATGTAGATTTCTCGTTCCCAAGTCACTGTCCTTGGAGCATTAGCATCAAAAAGGTCCAGGAATATTCAGAAGTCTGCTCGGATATGGGTGGATACACCAAACACAATTCCCTTCTTGCTTGAATCTGCCCCTGAGCTGAGCTAAGGAGATGCCAGAGAGATGCAGTTTTGGTAGCACCATGAGAGGGCCTCTGGGAGAATCAGGAAAAGAGGAAACCGAGTCTTGTCAAGACTGTCAGAATGAGTGTTGCCTCCACAGATCCATGCAAACTGCCGCATCCGACGGGTTTACTTCTCAGACAGGCTCTACTCAGAAGATGAGCTGCCGGCAGAGTTCAAACTGTATCTTCCAGTTCAGAACAAGGCAAAGGTGAGGCAGCCCTGCTTAGACAAAACCAGACAGGGCTGGGAGTTGGGGTACTGTGTCCTGGAAAGTGCTGAGCTCAGCTACTGACCTGTCTAGGTGACCCTGTGGGGTGCCTTGTCTCATAAGATGCTAGGTCCTGTACCATAAGATGCTAGGTCTTCACAAGGATGCCCCTGCGAATACTTCAACGCTCTCTCCTTCCCTACAAGTGATCCTGACCCTTCTGAGGACGTGCCGTTGCTTCCTGCCCTCGGGCTGTTGTCTGAACCTCTTTCTTAGCCCTAGTTCTTAACACCCAGTAGGTTCCTGCTAACACTGGTGGCTGCCTTCCTGCTGGTAGCTGCATGTAAGCTCAGAGTCCACTCAGGTGTCACCAGAGGTAGAGGGCTGGTGGCACAGGCTGTTTTCTGATAATCCAAATTGACACCTCTTTTATTTTTTTTCCTTCAGCAATAACTAGAATGCAACTCAAGTGATAGACCCTGAATGTGACTCCTAAGGAAACTATCTGGAGAAAAATGCAAAAAACATTTACTACTTCACTGTGCTATGGTCAGCTTTGTCATGGACACTAGTGACCATAACTTCCTGACTGCATTGTAAGTACAGCGGGAGATAAGCAGTGCTTTGAGCGGTACGTGACTGCTGGAGTTTCTCCTGCCGCCTGCTTGTGTGTGGGGAGATACTTGTACCACGAACAGAGAATTAAAGTTGTCCAATAAGGAAATTTCAGACCAATATCTCTCCCTACAATTTATTCTTTGTTTTATATATATCTAAATATATGTATATGCTGTGTAATACTCACTTGGAAATAAACCAAATACTGTATTCTTGGTTTATAAATTTGTTTCTTGTTTGTCTTTTTTTAGTGGTAAGGTTTTTCTTTCCTTCGTGAAAATAGTGTTGCTTCCAATGAAACATACCATATGTTTCATGCTGTGAAGTGTCTTGCTGTGCTTAAAAGTTTGTATACATTGATTTGGAACAATTTTCAAGATAAGCTAAATGACAGGAAAAAAAAGAAACCAATCCACAAACAATATCTGGCCAATAGAATCCTTGTACTAGTGTTGGGTCCTAAGTTGAGCTTAAAATATAATGACATATATAGTTCAAACTGCTGTTGAACAACTTGCAAGATGCCATACTGGAATCCTGTGTGTTTTTCAGAATAATCTAGGACTCAGCATTGGAAGGGATCACTGTTCCTGAGTTACAGATGAAGTGCTTGCCTTGAGTGTTGGGACCTGCAGGAAATGTTTCTTTAAACACTGGAATCACACAAGGGAACTGAAACCTGCACCACCTTCCCACTCACTCTCATTGTGGGGCAGATGGCTCGTTAGCAAAATGAGTCTGACACTGTTGTATTTAGGGAGGCAGGGGAAGGTACAAACAGTTAAATTTGCAAAAGTTAAATTTGATGCAGCTCTGTGACATTCCCCTCAACTGTCATTGGGGGCAATAATTTGGTGACAAGGCAGAGCATACACAGATCTGCCTAAACCTTGAAGGACACAGAACTGGTACAGTCATTACGTCTGGGCAGAATGGTTTCCATGTCATTTGTATACTTTTTATACTAGAGAATTAGACCTAGCAGCTCACATGCTAGACAATTATTCTACCACTGAGCAACATCCAAATCCCGAAATAATTTTTTAAGAGAGAAATAGTGTTATAAAAATTTCAAATTCGGAGGCTGGGGATTTAGCTCAGCGGCATAAGCGCCTGCCTTGCAAGCAGGCAGTCGTGAGTTCGATCCCTGGTACCGATAAAAACGAAAAAGACCAACAACAACAAAAAAAAATTTCAAATTCAAAATGAGCAAAAGTCCATTCCAGATACTGTGTCCCCACTCAGACTCGGGATTTGCTTTTTACTCCATGGGGATAAGGCTGGCATTGTGGGCGTCAACCATTTTGACTTTGGATGAGGTGAAAATATGAACTAGGTTTATCATTACTGTTGCCACCTTCTGAGAAGTGAAGTGGCAAGAAGTACAGTGGGAGGCTGAGTCAGGAGGAGCACAAGTTTGAGTCCAGGCTGGGAAAATAGGCAAGACCCTGTCTTACAATAAAAATAAACAAACTAAAAGGGGAGGGGATGTAACTGAAGGCCCTGGGTTCACTCATTCCCCTCCAGCCCTCGCCATCACCGAAAAAAAGCAAAAGCATCCTCTCCACATCCTTACCCTCCTGTGTGTGTGTGTCATGCTCTGGGTAAGCGTGACCAAACAGGAGGGCAGGACCACTGGGGTACTTGTGTTGGGTGGGCAAGGACCACGCTGCTACCTCACATGACTGATTACTTCTCACCATTGCTAAGGGCCTGATGCTTGCATTGGCTCAGCCAAGACAGCTGTGCCTTTTCCCTGGGGGCCACCTTTCCACAGATACTGCCCATGTCCTTCGAGAGTCTGATAGTTTAGCATGGCAGTGCACCCCTGACAGCCTGCTCTTTCAGGGCCACCCCCGTCAAATCCAAATGTCCCCTTTCTCTGAACTTTCAGCATATCAGCCTTCTCACTGCTAAGACTCCATCTACCTGTCTCCCTAAGTTTAGGTGTTACCTCGGAAGTCCCCCAAAGGAGTGGGGCTGACCGGATTTGAGAGCTTCTTGTCTCCAGCCACTATATAGTGAAATCTCTGCAATCAGGATGAAAGATGCTTTTGTGGGGAAGAGAGAATCTGGGTTAGCCGTTCATTTCCTCTTGGTGCCAGGACATCAGTGAAGAGCTCCTGGAAATTCAGAGAAACAGGCACTTTCCTCCACACAGAGCCCCTTTCACCCCGGGCACTTGTCAGACTGCGCATGGAGATTACCTCACTGCCCCCTGGGTAGCAGGCAGCAGCTGCCTGCCTTCCCAGATGCTGCACATCCATCCGAGAGGAAGTGACGGGGCGCTCAGGCTGGTGCAGTGTGTTACCCAGCTGAGCCAGGCCAGTGTGAATAATGGCATGGGCGACTGCTTGGTCAGCAGGAGGGTGACAACACCAGTTGAGAGGCTGAAAAGGAAAGGAAGGGCAGGCTGGAGACCTCCCTCATGGAGCTTGGGCCAGGGTGACCGCTGGTCATGGTGACAGAGCATACAGTGCCTTGGAGGCCCTGTTGTGTGTTTGGAAGGAACTGTCTTCTAAAAGAGTTAATTGGCATGAACTTGAAGGAAAGCGGGCAAGCATTCCCAACAGGGTTTACGTCAGGGAGAGGAGATCTGCCACTGGCCCACAGACTGCTTCCTCAATGGCCCAGCCTAGCAGATAAGAGAGGCTGCCAAACCAGCCTCTCGTGCAGCACGTCTGAGAGATGCAAGTATGCCAGGGGACATAGGAAAACTGGCCCCTCCGTGGCTGGAAAAGACCTTGGACCTCTTTTTGTCTGATCATCATCTCTTCATATTACCGACAAGGACACTGGAACTCAGAGAGATGTGCCAGCCCTGTAAGTGACAGGCAGAATGAAAACCCAGTTCACTTGACAGGAATCCTTTGCCATCCCTCGTGCTGATGTCCAGGCCTGCCTCCTCCACTGGAGAGGGCCGGTCTGGTTTGTCCGCACATGGTTGCTTGGTAGCCGAATCCCAGGACTTGAGACTGAAGGTGAAAAAGCTCAGGGACAAAGTTTGGGTTTCACTAGTAGGTCATGAGAGTAATAGAGTAGTAAGCTCACACTTTGAAAAAGATGAAGGAAGATAGAAGTCCCAGTTCCCATTCTTAGAATGAAAATATTTGCAATTATTAATACAATGTGATTGCCCTTTCTTCCTGTATCTGGTCTTCTAGCATGGCGAGCCTCTTCACTTGTGTTCTTACAGGAAGGGCTGGTGCTGAGAGCCATGTTTTTCTTCCTTTCCTCCTTTCTCCCACGCCTCCTTCCTTTTCTCCCTTATTCCTTTCCTTTGTATTCTTTTCTTTTCTTTTCTTTTCTTTTTTTTTTTTTTTTTTTTTTTTTTTTGTGGTACTGGAAATTGATCTCAGACAGCATTGAGCTATGTCCCAGCCATTTTGCTTTTTGAGACACCTTTTAGGATGGCCTCGAATTTGTGATCCTTTTGCCTCCGCCTCCTCAGTAAGTATGGTGTATGCCATGCACCCAGTTGCTAGGAACATTTCTAAGGAAGGTGGTAGAGGGAGCTTGGCACATTGGAGTACTGCTTTACAGGTGGCACCATGCCTTCGCACCTGTTGGGGAGCCCGCCTGGAAGATAAGGTGTAGGAGCCCCTCCCACCAACAGATTAGCACACAAGTCAAAAGGCTGACAAAGTCTGCATAGCTCTCATGGGTCAAGGCTGGGCATAAATAGCCTAAGGCTTCCTGTTGGAATGCCAGGATCCTCCTGCTTATCATGGCATTGACCTCAAAATATCTGTTCACAAAGCATCAAGAATATGGTTAAGAGTACACATCCTGTAATTCCAGCACTCAAGAGGCTGAAGCAGGGAGATGGTGAGTTTGAGGCCAGCCTTGGCAACACAGACCCAGTCTCAAAAGAGCCAAAAACAAAAACATTAGCTAATAAATATATTGAAAGCATGCAAGAGGCCAGACTACATTTTAAGCATTTTACATGTATTATTTTACTAAAGTGTCATAACACTGAAAAAAGAACTATGATTTTCATTTCATAGATAAGGGAGCCAAGGTACATGGATTAATGTGTGCCTAACATCACAGAGTCATCCACTAAATGATAGAAACAAGTTCAAACTCAGGTTGTTGAACTCCCAGTCCTAGGCAATTTCTCAACTTCTTTGACCAACTGTTCAAAACTAGCCCAATGAAAAAGCGTGCAAAATCACTGGCCTGGAAGAGCTCATGAGTGAGTCAGCAATTTTAGCTCTGGTGTTGTCACACAGTGGGTGACAGGCGGTGAGGAAAGACACAGATTGTGGCTAGCAGGACACGCTGGAGAACCTTAGCATCAAAGGAAGAGTGGCAAGAAGGCACCCAGGAGTAAGCACCATTCTATTTGTATGAACGACAGGGCTGGGGATGTAGCTGAGTGGTAGAGCGCTTGCCCAGCCAGGGTGCATAAGGCCTGGGTCTAATCCCTGTACTCTCCAAAAAAAATTATTTTTAATAAAGTATTAAAAATAATAAATTACTTTTAATATTTTTAATGTTATATGATCCAGGCAGGGGACTGAGTGTGTTACACAAGGAGAGTGTTTTAACTGAAGGTGGTGGTGATGAGTGGGGCACACCTTCAAGAGCCACTTCAGGGCCTTCCAAGTATCAGCAATCCTCTGCTTTTTAACTTGGGAAGTGTTTACACATGGACTTTTGTTTTAGTTATTATTTAACTTATACACAATGAATATACTCTTCTGATAATATTTCTCAATTTGCAAAAGTTGAATTCAGGTTTCTTGGTCCTGGCCTATTAAAATGCAGGTCGTGGAGGCCCAGATCATTTAAATAAAGATGAACTGTCCCCCAATCTAAAAGATATATTAAAAAAAAAAAAAAGCTATATCACTCTCTCACTCATCCAGCCTGCATGTTGACGCCTTCCCAGTGGTTTGAGCAAGTGTCACCTGGGAGCTGCTCCATGCTGGAGTGTGCAGGTTGATGTGATACCTCTGAGTGAACAGAAGGCAGATGCACTGGGGGAGGAGAGGGACATAAAAAGCCCTCACTCTAGGCCATCTGCAAATAATGACCTCTCCCATCACAAAAGTCTAGAGAAAAAAAGTCTACACTCTAGAGAAAGAGCTCTAGGATGTAACTTACATCTATCTTTTCCATAGCCTGAAAATGTGGGCTGCTGTAATGTGAACCATAGAGGCCCTCCAAATTGTAAATCCACCTGGATGGTGTTGAACATCTGGATGGAGCATGAG